TTTTTGGTCTTTTTGAGACAGGGTCTCCCTGTAGCCCCAGCTGGCCTGGAACTCACTTTGTAGACCAGGGTGGCCACGAACTCAAAGAGGTCCGCCTGCCTCTGCTTCCCGAGTGCTGGTATTACAGGCGTGCACCACCATGCCCAGCTATACACTAAATTTTTAAGAAATTAAAGCACGTCAATTTCCTCATACCTGCATGCATTTTAGTAATTCCAAAAAGGCGTCAAACCCTTCTAAGAACTTCTGCCTCAACTCATCTGACCATTCAGTTGGTTTGCTAATCAGCACATACCTACACAGAAAGATGAAAGTGGTGATGAGCACAGAAACACTGACATTTTACAAGCTGGACTTGTTTCAAAATGAAGGAAACACTTACTTGAGATCTAAAATAAGGCTCTGAACTCTCCTAAACTTGAAGGCTTGTAAAGCAGTGTAGCGTTCAAACTGAAATCTGCCCTGGGCATCTTGTTGCTTCAAATGGTCCATGAAAGTCTTAATGATGATGGTCATTAGGTTCTCTTCTGTGATGAGCATTCGAGCCTAAAACGAAATACTGTAAAGCAGTGTAGCGTTCAAACTGAAATCTGCCCTGGGCATCTTGTTGCTTCAAATGGTCCATGAAAGTCTTAATGATGATGGTCATTAGGTTCTCTTCTGTGATGAGCATTCGAGCCTAAAACGAAATACATCAGAATGCCTGCTAATCAAAGTCTGTTTACTCAGAAACCAGGAAGAGTTTTAAGCACTTGTAGCTTAAATGTTTTCAACACAAATATAATGTATTAAGTGTATTAATAGCTATTTCTAAAGATTTTCAGTTATGACTGTCTTGTCTACATGCATATATGTGCACCATGTGCATGTCTGATGACTGTAGAGACCAGAAGGGATCAGATCCCCTGGAATGGAGTTATGGGTGGTTATGAGCCACGCATGGGTGCTAGGACCTGAACCTAGGTTCACTTCAAGAGCAACAAGTACTCTTAACAGCAGATTCATTTCTCCAGACCCCATCAATAAAAAAACTTACTCCAATTGCCATGTGTATGAAGGATAATTCTGTAAGATCTCAGAAATATGCCTGAATGTTAGAAAGCAGATCCAAGGCTTACTAGTCAAGGGTAATTCAGGATACAGAATCTGAACCAGATATAAAGTCTCCTTAACTGAGACATTTATATACTTATAATGGAATGGAATAATTATTCAAGGATCCAGAGGTTTATGTCACTGCTTTTCAAGACTTCAGCAAGAAACTTTCCTCCTAACTGAAATTTTCTTCTGTT